CCTTCTCAATTTCCCTGGAAAAGAATTGATGGGTTATTCTCAATCAATTCTGAAAATGAGTCTGCAGCATCCTGCTGTTTCAAAAAAAAAGGTAAAAACTGAAATGTCTAAACTGGGGTATAAATCTGCTCCTTCAGAATCACAAAGGCATGAGCTGGTGATGTCTCCAGTTTTGATCATAGCACTTGAAAACTAAGATACAGGGTGCATGCAGAGAATCCAGAAGAAAGCAATGAATGTCTGGAAACAGAAAACTACTCTTCCTTGAGCACAGGCTGAATGATTGTAAGTAATTTTACAGAAGAGATGGTGGAGGGAAAACACAATGATTTTCATATATGTAAAAGCTGGTTACAAAGAAAAACAGCACAACTGTTTCTCATATCCACAGTCAATATGAATAAAAATAATTGCCTTAAATTGCAAGAAAGGAGATTTTGGTTAAACACAAAATGAGACTAAGTGACCTATTGAGGTCCTTTTCTGATCTGAGTCTGTGATTACTTGCAAACTTTCTGCTTTAAAGTCACTTGCTTATGACTGTCAGTAGAGCTGGGATAGACTGCAAGAAAAGGAGGCTGCAGTTACAGGAAGGAATAAGGAACTGACTCCCTTAAATGCACAGCACACCAGTTTATCTAGTTAGCACTAGTGATACTAACCTCAGCTTTTAATCATGCCTCAGCAAACTGTCAGAAGTCTGTGTAAATAAATGCGCTTTAAAACCACTTAATTATAAAATAATTATTCCTTGAAACATCAAGCAGTAGTTTAATCAGTGTTGACAACTTCCATGATTTTATTGAGTCTAATCAACCTGCGGCAGCCTGGTTTCAGTTGTGAGATGGTGTAATCAGCTATTTTATGTATTAAAAAAAAATTAGATCTGCCAATTCCATGGAAAATCCTGAAAGTGTAATCTGAACATATGCTAAAGATTAACAAGCCAGAAGGTGAACAAAGCCACATATGTTTTTTAAGCTCATAATTTTAAACTAGGTTTATAATTTTCAGATATCTGACTCATGATTTTTGAACTCCTGGTTTGGCAGTACGAAATTACAGTGCCCTATATTCTGCTCTTCTGAATACTTCCATAGTACTAATCATGCATTTGTGTAATTTGCCAAAAACATGTTATAGAGATTTGCAGAACTCTGTTTGTTATTCACAAAAACAAAGGAACACTTATTTAAGAAAGATCATGTCTTGTGGCTGCCTTTTAAATTAACAAGGAGCAGCTGCGCACAAAACCTGAAGGTACATAAATACAAGATAAGTTACATAGTTCCCCCCACATAAATACGATTTTTAATGCAACACCTCGTCAGAAGAACCCTGTCATTTTATACACCGGTAGTTCTTGTCTGAATTCCAAGTACTATACATGCATTTGCAAATATAAGTGAGATGAAGAATTTCAGTGATGAAAAGGTATTATGACAAAGTATTATTCATTCTTAGAACAGCAGTTGCTTAGACTTTTCTGAACTGATTGCTGTATTATAAAATAATTCATTTTCACCAATACAATCTGACTTATGCAATTTTCTGGATAGTTTTTCTAGGGAAATGGGTACTAGGGAAATGGATACAAGGGAAATGGATATCAGAATTTAAGGTCTAAGGTCTTCTGACTGTCAGACCTGAACAGACCATTTCAACTTTATCGTAATGATCCGAGTGGCTGATGTCTGATTGAACTGTAACTTGGGTTCAGTCCTATTTTTATACTCCACTGCCTTATGAAACACGTGGGGAAAAATTTTCCTTTTATCAAGATAAAGATAAGGGTTGAGTTCTCAGTTCTGCTCCAGATACTGAGCTCTTGTTTCACTGAAGAAATCTACATATCATCTTCATTTCTGGTTGGGTGGTGTAATGGAGAATAGCCTACAGCGTATTACATAGCGCTGCCAAACAGGAGACAGGGGTGCTTTATTGATCCTAAACACAAATTAATGGATCAGAAAGGCACCTGCCACTTCCAGAGGTGCTGACTTGCTTTTCTGGAAGTTACAGCTCACAGATTCAGGATGGGGGAATAACAGCAATTGTTTTTTTAAAGCGAAAATCAGACTTGTGCTGAAGTCCTCCCCATAAAGCTCACTCTTTAATTTCCGAACCAGTCGGTTTGGCTCACCTGTAGCATGACTGCATATGAAGCAACATAAAAGAGAATCATGTGTCTCTTCCCATATGAGAGGATGACTGCATGGATGAGTTGGTTCACAAACTGCTGACAAAAAGCAGGCTGGTAATAGCTCTGCTGAGAAGAGAGAATAGGTCTAATGAGGTTTTAGAGGTTGCTCCCTCTCGTTAGACGGGACTTTCTCTAAGGACATCAGTAAGAGACAGTGGCAAGAACATCACGTGAACTTCTGATTAGGAATGAAGGCTTAAAAAACAGCTCAGACCTAGACATATCATTGTGTAAGAAGAAAACAGCACCTGCACACTCAGCTGGAAAAGAAATACTTCTGCAACAGGCTGAATGAAATATTTGTAGCCTGAGTCCACAGACCTTTGGATTTTTCCTGAGAATGGCCACAAGTGTCTCATTTACACCATTGGCATTAAAATGGTGTGTTCATACATTCCTTCAAGATCTTTTCCCTAAAATTTCTACAACAAAACAATTAAAGTGATGAAATGAACAGGAGCGAGAAAATACTCTCAGGGTGAGCAGCAGTCCAGTCTCTGGAAACATCTCTTTAGCACGTTATCAGCACATTTGGGTATCAGCACAACCATATCAGGGCCAAACTAGTTACTGGGCCAAGGAAACCCCAAACAAGTGTTGTCTGGAGCTCATATTTTGTGCCTGGGCTGATAAAGCATAGGTAAAAGCTTTGGGCCAAATTAATGAAATGTCACTTCTAAATCTGATAAAACCTGTTAGATTACAGCTATACTTAAATGACACTTCCAACTAATTTTGATGCAAAGACTGCATATTGTGCTAATCAATATTGTTGTGTTATTTCTTCCTCCATTTGTTCTTTCCATCTCTTGTTTCTGTACATATGTTTTTGGGGCAGGAATCCTCTTTTTGCTCTGAAATAGCAAGGTCTGACTTTGTACTGCAGCTATCAAAACAGGGTTCTTGTGCATTACTAGTGTTCCTAAGGGACAGTCCTCACAAAGATACAAATAATAAACAACATAAACTTTTCAGCTGAAATGGAATTTATCAACCTCCGCTCTTTGTATTGCCCTGGCATTTCTCCCTGCTCCATATAATACAATCAACTGAATGAAGTAACAGTGAATTACAGGAAGAGATGGTTCAGGGATGAATCAGTCACTGGTCTAGCTACAAGAGAAACCGGCACCCTTCCCATCAAAGAAATCTGCACACAGCATATACAGAGCAGCTCCTGTCGGAGGTGGGGACAGCCGATGGTTTCCATTTTCCATTGACTTCTTTCGGATTTCTCTAACGTCAGAACCTGTGTGAAAAAAAAAAAAAAAGACCAGGATCTGTGGAAGAATAATAGTTATTTAAGTATGTACAATATTTATGGTCAGAAATTGAGGCTCTTCCACCTCAAAAATACATACACACGATACACAAAGGAGGTGAAGCCCTCATTTCTTATAAAAAAGCTTTGAAAAACACACTAATGGAAACAAGAATGTTTTTGATCTGGAGTTCCAGTGCCTGTAACAACTGTGTGAGTACAGATCACTCTGGGAAAAGCTGTAACATTTTCTGCAAGGCCTGCTACAGCATAGTGCTGAGGGCCAGGGACAAAGCTAATGAAAGATGATTTAATCACACAGCGAATTTAATCCTTCTCTCATGTACCTTGTAAAGTCTAAGGGCAGCAGACTTTTAGTAACACTTATAAAACAGCTACTGAAAAGGAGCAGCTCACTAAGACTCCCTGGAAAAAAAAAAAAAAAGGTTTCAGGATGGTGTTTTGTCCTCCTTCCTACAAGTGGAATATTTTGCAGTGTTTGTCTCAAAGCAAGGAGAAATAATTTGGAGGAACCACAACAGGTTTTCATGTTTAATATATCTTCACCAAAGCACTTTCCTAGCTCCGAGTTAATAGCTCCACAGCTTTTGCTAAACGTAGGCGTGACGACATCTCACATTAGCACAACAGACAAGAATTTAGAGGCGCTTCAAGAATGGTCACCGCGCAGGAACACGCAGCAACAGAGCCCCCAAATCCCGCACTGGGGCCATTCCCTGAGTCCTGGTGCCAGGACAGCAAGGGAGAGCTGTGGGTTACACCCTGAGTTCTGATGCCGGGATAGACCAGCCCGGTGCCATTCCCTGAGTTGTGGTGCCGGGACAGGAGGGGACAGCCCGGTGCCATTCCCTGCCCTCAGGTACCCTCCCGCAGCAGCCCCTCAGCAGCGACAAGAGGCTCCCTTGGCTCGGGGACAAACCGGCCCCCCTGTCCCCGCGGAGACCGGGGAGTGTCAGCCCGCCAAGTTCGGCCGAAATAAGGCTAAAAAGGGGCTCGGCGGGACTTTCTCTCAGCCACGGAGGGAGGGCGCGGAGTGCGTGTGTTTGTGTAAGGGACGTTCCGCCATGACAGCCCGGGGGTCTCCGCGCCCGGGGGGGGCGGCCGTTCAGCCCTAACACAAGCGGGGGGAGGCTGAAGGGGGGTGTGTATGGGAGGGAGGGGGAGAGGGCGGAATTTGTGTCGCCCAGCGACCAAATAAGGGTAAATTCCCCAGCGCCGGGGCTGAGCACTCAGGAATGACAAGCAGCGGGCGGCGGCAGCGGGCACGAACCCGCGGCCCCCGCAGCCCCCGCGCCCGGCGGGTCTGACCGGGCGGAGCGAAGCGGCCACCCAGCCCTGCCCCCGCCCCGCCATTGGGCAGCGCCGCTGTCAATCTTCGGCATGACGTCAGCCCCCCGCTGGAACTTTCCAGCAGAAGCGCGCGGCGGGGGCGGGGCGAGCACGCAGAGCGGGCGGTGATTGGCTGAGGGCAGTGGCGCACAAGAAAAACCCGGAAGGATCGCGGCCGCGGGGAGGGGCCGGGGCCGGGGGGGGATGCGCGCTCGCGTCTCTGATTCGCCGGGAGGCGGGGGGCGGGCGCTACCCGGCGGACCGCGGGGACGATTGGCCGGTGGGTGTCTCTCGAGGCGTCCGGATTGGCCGTCAGGGTTCTGGCAGGTTCCAGAAGCGGCGGCGGCGGGCATAAAAGAGGCGGCGGTGGCGCGGGCCGGGCACATCGCGCCGCGGCGGCAGCGGGAACGGGCGGGGGAGGCACGGACGAGGCAGCAGCGCACAGAGAACCGACACCATGTCTGCCAAAGGGCCGGCCATCGGCATCGATCTGGGCACCACATACTCCTGCGTGGGCGTATTCCAGCACGGCAAGGTAGAGATCATTGCCAACGACCAGGGCAACCGCACCACACCCAGCTATGTGGCGTTCACTGACACCGAGAGGCTCATCGGTGATGCTGCCAAGAACCAGGTGGCGATGAACCCCACCAACACCATCTTCGATGCCAAGCGCCTCATCGGCCGCAAGTATGACGACCCCACAGTGCAGTCAGACATGAAGCACTGGCCCTTCCGTGTGGTGAACGAGGGCGGCAAGCCCAAGGTGCAGGTGGAGTACAAGGGGGAGATGAAGACTTTCTTCCCAGAGGAGATCAGCTCCATGGTGCTCACCAAGATGAAGGAGATTGCTGAGGCCTACCTGGGGCGCAAGGTGCAGAACGCTGTGATCACGGTGCCGGCATACTTCAATGACTCCCAGCGCCAGGCCACCAAGGATGCTGGCACCATCACTGGCCTCAACGTGATGCGCATCATCAATGAGCCCACAGCAGCTGCCATCGCCTATGGCCTGGACAAGAAAGGAACCCGGGCCGGAGAAAAGAACGTGCTCATCTTCGACCTGGGAGGGGGCACTTTTGATGTGTCCATCCTTACCATTGAGGATGGGATCTTTGAGGTGAAGTCCACGGCTGGTGACACCCACCTGGGTGGGGAGGACTTTGACAACCGCATGGTGAACCACTTTGTGGAAGAGTTCAAGCGCAAGCACAAGCGCGACATCGCTGGCAACAAGCGGGCGGTGAGGCGGCTGCGCACGGCTTGTGAGAGGGCCAAGCGCACCCTCAGCTCCTCCACGCAGGCCAGCATTGAGATTGACTCCCTTTTTGAGGGCATTGACTTCTACACCTCCATCACTCGTGCCCGCTTCGAGGAGCTCAATGCTGATCTCTTCCGTGGCACCCTGGAGCCGGTGGAGAAGGCTCTGCGTGATGCCAAACTCGACAAGGGCCAGATCCAGGAGATTGTGCTGGTGGGTGGCTCTACTCGTATCCCCAAGATCCAGAAGCTGCTACAGGACTTCTTCAATGGCAAAGAGCTCAACAAGAGCATCAACCCCGATGAGGCTGTGGCTTACGGTGCTGCCGTGCAAGCAGCTATCCTGATGGGAGACAAGTCTGAGAACGTGCAGGATCTGCTGCTGTTGGATGTCACCCCTCTGTCCCTGGGCATCGAGACAGCTGGAGGAGTGATGACTGCTCTCATCAAGCGCAACACCACCATCCCCACCAAACAAACTCAGACCTTCACCACCTACTCAGACAACCAGAGCAGCGTCCTTGTCCAGGTGTATGAGGGTGAGAGGGCCATGACGAAGGATAACAACTTGCTGGGCAAGTTTGACCTCACAGGCATCCCCCCGGCACCCCGAGGAGTCCCCCAGATCGAGGTCACTTTCGACATCGACGCCAATGGTATCCTGAACGTCAGTGCCGTGGACAAGAGCACAGGGAAGGAGAACAAGATCACCATCACCAACGACAAGGGTCGCCTCAGCAAGGACGACATCGACCGCATGGTGCAAGAGGCAGAAAAGTACAAGGCAGAGGATGAAGCAAACAGAGATCGGGTGGCAGCCAAGAACTCCCTCGAGTCCTACACTTACAACATGAAGCAGACAGTGGAGGATGAAAAACTGAAGGGAAAGATCAGTGACCAGGACAAGCAGAAGGTGCTCGACAAGTGCAAGGAGGTGGTCTCTTGGCTCGACCGCAACCAGATGGCTGAGAAGGAGGAGTACGAGCACAAGCAGAAAGAGCTGGAGAAACTCTGCAACCCGATCGTCACAAAATTGTACCGGGGAGACGGAGGGGCTGGGGCAGGCGGCTCCGGTGGCCCCACCATCGAAGAAGTAGATTAAAGAAGACTGAAGCACAGACTGGTTTATGGACAGTTGCTCCGTTCTCTGCTTTGTTTTTTTTTTTCTTCTAACGTTTAAGGAAAACGTCCTTGCCGATAACAGAGTTTATTCTGTTGGGTGTGTATAAAGGCAGATCTGTCAGCTTGGTTTTGATAAGAGGGAAGGCACGTCCTGCTTTATAAGGTTAGTAATAGACAAGTTTTGTTAATTCAGATACAGCTGTTTGTACTCTGGATGTTTGTCTCTGTCTCTATTCTTAAAGTTACCACTTGATTGTTGCAGTTGACAAGTTTCAAGTTATGCATGAAAATCTTTACAGAAGATTAAAAGAGAAAATGCCAAATTCGGTTCTGGAAATTTTGGTTATAAATAAAATGTATTTAAAGCATAAATCTATCCTCTTTCTCCTCTCTGTGAAGGGGTAGTAGTCGGAGGGGATGGGGGGGAGGGCAGGTGAGGAAAAACTTTCCTGGCAGTGTGTGTGGTTCCTGGGACCTGCCCTGCTTTTGGGGTGACGAGGGTGGTGGCAGTGGAGCAGGGGGATGTTCGGCTCCGGAGGGGCAGTGGGAGAGAGCACGGGGGCTTCCCGAGGGGAACGCAGCCTGGGCTGGGAGCTGGGGAGGGGATGCTGGTGTCACAGCCCCCAAACCTTGCGGCTGGGGCAGTGGGAGAGTGGTTCCCGGCACTGCCACGGCAGGGAAAAGTTCCCCAGAGGTGCGGGTGCTGTTTTTGGGCAGGACCTGCTCTTGCCCGCAACTGGTGTCTGGCGCTGGAGCGCCCGGCACGGGAATGCTGGTTGTGTGCGTGTGGCTGGGGGAGAACAGCGGGGAAACGAGGACAACAGAAATAGTCCTGCTTGGCAGGTGGTGGGGCTCGATAAAATAGAGATCGGTTTGTGGGCAGCTGTACAAAGTGCTGAGATATTCTTGGGTTGCTTGTCTGCACGCTGAGCTTTCAATACTTTACTGAACGTGTTTTTCCCCCCTCTTTAAGACAAACAAAAGTTAAGCTGGCGAAGACACCCCCAGCGCTGGGAGCGCTGAGTAAGGAGCCGGTATGCTGGGCTTAATAGAATAGGCAAAATTTGTAGTAGTTAAACTTGTCTGACTTTGCTGCAAACTGTCTGCAGAGTTGTTCATTTGTTTAAGAAAGCAAAAAAAACCTCCGTAGGCAGCGTTTCAGAGTCCGAGGCGCTGCGAGTTAATGAGCTCTGATGGAGGATCCTGATGGCACGCACATTTCGGGCTGGCTTGTCCTTTAAGGGAAAAAACTGCGGAGCCGTGGGCAGCTGGAGGGAGTCGGCCGCCGTGTTTTGGTTTGTTGCTCGTTTGTATGTGGGAGTGTTGGTGTCCCGGGAACCACGGTGGGTGCTGCCCTGCCAGCCCTCCCTGCTGCCAGGAGCTTTTAGCACTCTTGATTCCTTAAACTTGTAGGTCATGTATATTTTAAAAAAGAAAATCTATAAAAAGTATTCTGTGACAAGAAGGCAGACAAAAAATAAACTTGTTCAGTATTTAATCGTCAGCACAGGTGTAAGACTCTGGTTTACTACGTGGATTTCTCTCAGCTCTTTTTTCAGGGCACTGTCTGTGGGTTTTCTCTTCACCGGCTACAAATGGGGGTTACAGTTGTAGTGGGGTGAATGTGAGGCTTGTAAAAAGCTTGTTTGATCAGCTGCTGTTGCAAATGATTCAAAACCACTTCAGGTTTATTGAATGGTCCGTAGGTAAATGGCAGTGCCATCACAGTGAGATTGGAGAAGTCAACTGCAGCAACTTCAGCACCTGCTGAGGGCTTCAGTGACATCTCTGAAGGCTTCGGTCAGGCTGGGTGGTCTTGGTGTTCAGGTACACAGCATTTTCCTGGCAGTCAACCTCTTGATTTCCAGGCTGTAACATAAAAAGGACCGCTGAGAATGAGAAGATACTGCGACTTTTTTTTGTCCCCTAGAAACTAGTAAATAAATATGTTTATGAATAGGACTAGATTATATATAGTGAAAAGTTGTTGCTGCAAAATGTAATACTCTGTCAGATACACGTTTTCCGAACTGAAATACCACTACCCTGGGATGACAATAAGAAATAGGTGGTGCCCATTTTCATTGTAAATGCAGGCTAACTATTTTTTCTGTTAACCAACTGGTAATTGCCCTTGCCGCATAGTTTCCTTTACTTTTCAGCCCTTGGTTTGCATTCCTCAGCGTCGCTTCTCAGTTATTAAACACAATTTTTTGTTATTTAAGTGTACTGCAGGGCTAATGTAGCTAAATGTGCACAGCAGTTTGTCACACACCTGTGCTGTCGTCTGTCCTTCCCCTCACCTTGGCCACTGCTGCCCTGTGCCTGTTTCAGCAGTGGGGCAGGCAGGGAAAACAGCACAGAAGTGGAGTCCCTGTCCAAATGGTTTAAGTACCCCAAGGGCTACGGACAAGAACAGGGTAACACTGGGATAATTTTCTTTTTCCCTACGAAAAGGGTATTTTTTGGTTGGACACACCTAGACTGCGTGTGGGGTATGTAAAGGATTGGAAACTTCTGCTGACTTACATGCTTGGGAAAAGATTTGAAGTCTTGAGGCACAACGTAGCCTTTCAAGTATGTGAACAACCCCCCCCCCCAATGTAAGAGGCAGAAAACGTGTAGGGCTCAGAGCTGGATTCCTTGCATTCATTCACTTAATTTATAAAACAAAGAAGAACTTTGAGTTGATTTTCAGTATAGTGTAGTTACCATGGAGTGAACTCTGATCCTGTTAGTGGAAACTTCCCACTGCCTTCAGTGGGTCTGTATTTCTACCCCCTGCAGTTTCTTAAAGAAATAAAGTTAATTTCCCAAATGCTGCTCCTCATTTGCACATAGGTGCATTTGGTGCGTACGTGTCATTCTGGGGAGTAGTTGCACGTTTCAAATGAATTTTGCAAAGCCAGGAAAATAATCTTGTCTAAAATCTGCAGTTTCATTGCTTTCACAGCCAGTGTCTCTCATCCTTTGCACTGTCCTGACTCACAGGGAAAGCCAGCTGCTCCTGTCAGAATCAGAGGCCTGGGCTTCTGAACTTTGCTGTTCTCAAACAGGACTGTGCAAGAAAGACAAAGTCCATAGGAAGAATATAAAGTGGTTGTAACTTCCTAGCACTTGTGCAACTGCTGTATTAATTTTTGATGGCCCCATATATTTGCTGATTGAGTTCGGATGGTATTGTTTCCAGTAGAGGAACACCCGTACCATTAATACTGAGAATTTAATCACCCAAATTAAACCCCTTAAGTGCCTTAGCACCTTGCTCACAGTGCATCCAGGTGTGGAGTGGTGCAAAGCCACCCCTCCCATGTGTGGTGCAGGTCACCCTGCAATTCCTCGCTTTGCAGGGGAGAGGGAAGAGCCAAAAAAAGACAAAGCCAAAAGCATTACTAAAATAACGTGCCATGTGAGAGCCCTCGGAGGGAGCTGAGGACAAGGGAGCTGTCTGAGGGCAACCCACTCGGGAGCTGGAAAGTTGAGACGTGCTTGGACAGGCTGTGTCCACCCAGCCGGCCGGGTGAGTCAGCCTGTGCCCCGCCGCCTCCGGAGCGTCTGTTTGATGTTTTGCAGAAGGACTGAGCAGACAAGCTGCAGCCCTGCTCATCCCTTGTGATACCATCTTAAAGGCAGGAATGAATACATCCCAGCAGCCTTCCTTTTATCTCTCGGGAGACACTGCGTGGAGCCCTGCAGGCTGGGCAGCATTTCTCCTGGGAGCTGCCTGTCATTTATTTGAAAGGTTCTCCTTGAAGGTTTTGGGGCTCTGTGGGGTGCAGCCAAGGAAGGAGATGAAGGATCTTAGGACTGCACCATAAATTTTGTCTTCCCCATTGTGAGCCACTCCTGTGGATACTTATGAGGAACAGGAAGAAAGGGAAAAAATGCTCAGGGAATTCACATTTCCGGTCTTGGCACTTACACTAAATAACACGGGCTTACACCCAGGATGCGTGCCTAATTTTAAAGTTCCCTTTTTCAGTCCTGTCAATGTGTTGCAAGGTAATAGCATTCCAAGCTCTACTTATTTCAAAGGTGTTCCTCATTTCTCCTTCCTGGCCCTGTGCCTGGCATGAGTTTCCCTTTCTGTGTCCCTTTAGAGAGCGCACCGTGGTCTAATCTCTGCTCCGTCAGGGACACTGTACCTTGGCACAGGGCAGTCCTCTGATATTAAACCAGCAAAGCATGTGGATGCTCTTACAGCAGCGAAATTATGTTCTGTAGTTGTTCATCACAGGAAAGCTATCACCCCTCCCTACCCCACAGCGAAACAAGTTATGCTAGTAAAGCCTCTTTAGCACACCTATGTGGGTCAGGTATCACATCTCTCCACCGCTCTCATCCACATATTTATGCAGGCAGAAGCCTATAGCATAGACCTGCCTCTAGAGTAGATTTTGCTTGCAGCAGCATGCTGATTATAGAGTTGGGCAGGCCAGCATTTCCAGATGCAACAACATATTTCACTTCCACATATGAAACAGCAGTATTAAAACCCCCTGATCCAGCCTTGCATGACCCATTTGCCTTTACTCTCTCCTGCATCAGTAGGGTGGAGACAGAGACAAGCTGGTTCCTCTTGTCATCCCAATAACAGCACCAGCCAGGAATTTTAGAGAGGGGAGAAATTTCCCTGTGAGAGCCAACACTTTCTTCCATAGTCTTAAACAAAATCAAGAGCATAGGAAATTTGTGCTCCTTTTCCATTGCTAAAGATGTGTTCTTCCACCATTCAGTAATTGGTTTTTGTATGTTGGCCTATGCAAAAGTTGACAGATTTCTGTTGCATCCTGGACCAAGAAGTGTGAAGTCATCCTTGCCCATGCTTAGGTAGCAGTTAGCAGCACCTGTACCCTCACTGCTGGAGCCGTTCAAAATGTTATTGCTCCAAATGATTTGCAGGTCAGGAATTAAAATCTGTTTTGAACAGGATTAAGGAGACAAAAACACTTCCAGAAGTGGCAATGCTACGTACTTCAGGCAGGACTCTATTGAACCCCCCATGCATTTAGGGGTCTTAGTTGCCTTGCTACGTTCACTGACAAGCATCATGAAATATTTTCTGTCAATCCCTATAAGAGCTGCTGCACAGTGACTCTGACAGTCTGGAAATCATATGTCATAGCTGAAAGCAGCATTTCTTTTTGACAGGCTATATCTAAAAATGGAAACATATTTCTTTCAAAACCACGTTTATTTCTCATTTGGCAGACTCCTTGTTTCCGTGCCGCAGACCTCATTCACGTGTTTGCAAATGTACCAACACAGCCCAGTTAAAGCCAACTGATGCTAGTGACTCCTTAGTCCTACCCCCAGCACTACAGGTGGGAGATAACTAAATTAAAAATTCTAATAAGCTAAAAAGTCTCTGT